GTTCAAAGATCTGAATAACTTCTCCCTGTCACTGGATGGGCGATAGTTCCCCCCGATTCCTCCCGTAAGCGCTGGGATGGCCGCTCCTTCTCACGCACTCATGGCTGGTCCTGCTTATGCGCCATTACATGAAAGATGAGGTGAAGCAGACAAGTAAGAAACTTGTTGCTCCTCTTCCTCCCTAAAAAGGTTTGCCCCCTCCTACTTGCGAACGTAGCGTATAATTGTATGTTTTCTATATTACTGCAAATGTCTAGCTTTACTGAGATTTAAACTTGTGCCCAGGAGCGGGATAAGCACGTGACCGTAGGCAGACTGGCATTGCTCCGACAGCGTGCCCACAGGGAGAAGGCTGAGGGAGGAGGGCAGGGCCGCCTCTGCCCTTGTCTGCAAGGCTCCATGGGAAACAGTTCTCCTTTCCTTCTCAGACAATGAGGTGGAGCAGCAAGACCTGGCGCAGTCCCTGAGCCTCGTGAAGGAGGTGATTGGAGCCGTGGACAGCAAAGTGGCGAGTTACGAGAAGAAAGTGCGTCTGAATGAGATTTATACGAAGACAGACAGCAAGTCGATCATGAGGATGAAGAGCGGGCAGATGTTTGCCAAGGAGGACTTGAAGCGGAAGAAGCTGGTGCGGGACGGGAGTGTGTTTCTGAAGAACGCAGCGGGCAGGCTGAAAGGTGCGGGTCGCGTTTTCTCTCGCGCTCTGAGCAGGTGCCAGAGGGCAGCGGGCAAAATCCAAGTGTTTTTGTTAGAAACTCACCACCAGGTTTTTCCGAGGGAGCCCATATCCAAACATCATGCAGGAACAACCATCATGTAATTGTTCTTAATCTTGTATCCAAAAGTCTGGTTTGCGATAGCTTATAAATCATATAAACACACCAAGTTTAGCCCTTGGTTCAGAGGATAGAGCGTCAGCCTGCGGACCAAAGCAAGGGGTCAGATTAACAGGTGTTAAGGGCGGTGTATGTCCCTACAAGAGAAGGGCAACAGCCCACAGGCCTGGCTCGGGCCCGTCCGCACTGCCCTCTCCCGCTGTCTGAGCTGCTGGCTGGTCAGAAACACCTTCCCTCCCTCCCCTGTGAGGCCTGACTTTTCCAGAGCTGCCGCTGCCTGGAGCTGGCTCTGTATTCTTTCCTTTACAAAGCTGTTATCCACTCCCCTAACAGAAACTAACCGGTCCCAGATGTTGGAATGAAGCTGTGGTCCAGCCCACGGCAGAGCACTAGCTTTTCTGCCCTGAAAGGCCGCCAGCGCAGATAGAAGTGGGTGTTGAGTCAGTCTCACCCCAAGTGAACTCGTGCCAGGAACAGCCGGTCCTGTGTGGGTGCCCTTTGAAGAGGGGGTTTCTCCGGGTCCTGACACCGAGCGTGTAAACCTCAGGATCCACTGAGGGTGAAACTTGTGTTTTAGAACTTTTTTTTTGGCCGGCACCTGAATTACTTAAAAGTAAACTTAAAAAAAAAAAGCAGTGCATGGCAAATGACTGTCCTCCAGGCTGAAAACTCGCCCTCCCTGGAAGGGAGGCAGCCTGGCTTGTTTTCTTCCTGGCTTTGCAGTGATGACCCGGAAGGGGGTCTCGCTGTGGCCGGAGGGCTGCACGTGTCAGTGCCGTTCTTCCCACGGAATCAGGGTCCCCCTTCCAGAGAGGATGCCACAGGAGGCTCACTGTAGAGATGTCTGACTTTATCCTTCAGGCAGCGATGCAAGGGGTCATCTGTGCTCCTACAGGATTACATCAAGAGTTTGTGGCCTTAAAAAAAAAAATTCAGAGAGGAAGGAAGAGGGAGAGAGAGATAGAAACATCAATGATGAGAGAATCATTGATCGGCTGCCTCCTGCACGCCCCCTACTGGGCTTGGAGTCCGCAACCTGGGCATGTGCCCTGACCGGGAATCGAACCTCGACCTCCTGGTTCATTGGTTGATGCTCAGCCACTGAGCCACGCCCTGGCCAGGCTGTGGCCTCCTGATTCCTAGATCCAACTAGAGATGTTCATGTGCGTTGAGAAGCAGAGAAGGCTGTTTCGTGGCATGGAGAGGCTGAGGTGGACCTGACACACAGCCCGCGTGCTCACACCTGCCTGTGGAATCAGAGGGCGGTGTGTAGCCTTCTGTTCTGACACTTAGAGACTTTTCTACATCACCTCTGGCAGCGTTCCTGCCTGCGATCCCACGCCTTTCCCAGCGCTCTAAGCGGAAGGTGGGGAGTCCTGCGACCGGGAGTATTTTGTGGAATATGTTGCCGTCTAACATCTGTTCGAGTCCTGCTCTCCAGTTATATTCCTCGAGTATTTTATTCTTTAGATCTTTCCTCATGAGATGGATCTTTTCAGAACTAAATATTTAAACTTTTCCAAGACGGGGCACTGGTGATAAAAAAAAAAAAAACCCTTTTGAAAGCCCCTGAAAGTCTAGTGACCAGATCCGGGTCATGGCCCAATGTGAGGCCGTGCGGCCTGGCCCTGCCCGGCTCTGGGTGTGTTGCGAATTACTCAGGAAAGTGCTGTGCAGAGCTGCCCTGTTCAACAGCCATTGTTCTCTCTCCCCCCACCCTGCAGAGGTCCAAGCAGTGCTGCTGACTGACATTTTAGTTTTCCTTCAAGAAAAAGACCAGAAGTACGTCTTTGCGTCATTGGTAAGCTCAATTGTTCGTCTCTTCTGTTTGTAATTAATAACAGTGTTCAGGACAGTTAAGGGTAAATTGAGCATAAATGAAACATTGTGTTGTTGGTCTCCCTGCTCTCAAAATCAATCAGCTCAGGACAAATTTGTCTGGATAATTCTTACATAATAACCATTTTCTGTCCCTCTCCCAAACTCCCCTATCCCCCCTCCCCCCAATTTTTTTTTTTTTTCTGTTTCTTTACAATCCTTTTGAGAGCCTTGGACATTTGATCACTGGAGTATTTCTCACCCATTGTGCCCCATAAATCATGCTAATTTATAATATTGCTAGCCAGATTCTGTGAGGATTCATCATGTGGAAAACATGACTCAAACCTTCATAGTCATAAGTTGTCATTTCCTTTGTGGAACTTTTTTCTGTTTGATAAAATGTAAGTGAAATAATGAGATATTTCTCTTTATCCTACATATACCATTGTTTAACCATGTGCTTTATTTATTTTTTAAATATATTTTATTGATTTTTTACAGAGAGGAAGGGAGAGGGAATAGAGAGTTAGAAACATCCATGAGAGAAACATCGATCAGCTGCCTCCTGCACACCCTCTACTGGGGATGTGCCCGCAACCAAGGTACATGCCCTTGACCGGAATCAAACCTGGGACCCTTCAGTCCTCAGGCCGACGCTCTAGTCACTGAGCCAAACTGGTCAGGGCTAACCATGATCTTGCCTGGCTGATGTGGCTCAGTGGTTGAGCATCAACCTACAAACCAGGAGGTCATGGTTCGATTCCAGGTCAGGGCACATGCCCGGGTTATTGGCTCCATCCCCAGTAGGGGGAGTGCAGGAGGCAGCTGATCAATGATTCTCTCTCATCATGGATGTTTCTCTCTCTCCCCCCACCCCTTCCTCTCTGAAATCAATAAAAATAAATTAAAAAAAACCCACCACCACCAACAAATAAAAAGGCATCCGGTCCCACCTGAGATTGAAGTCTCTAGAGCTAGGCTATTGTAACATTTCTTACATCTGCCCCTACCCCCCTTCTTCCAGGACCAGAAATCCACAGTGATCTCCTTGAAGAAGCTGATTGTGAGGGAGGTGGCGCACGAGGAGAAGGGGTTGTTCCTCATCAGCATGGGCATGAAGGACCCGGAGATGGTGGAAGTCCACGCCAGCTCCAAGGAGGAGCGCAACAGCTGGATCCAGATCATCCAGGACACCATCAACACCCTGTAAGCCGGCACGCCCCCCGGCCGCCCGCCTCGCGCTTTCCTGATCGCCTGGCAGTCCCAGGGTAATCCATGTCTCAGGGATCTTTCCTTCCGTTTTATTTTGGTTGTGTTAGGAACAGAGATGAAGATGAAGGAATTCCCAGTGAGAATGAGGAAGAAAAGAAAATGCTGGACACCAAAGCCCGGGAATTAAAAGGTAAAGCTGTGGGAAGTGGCCTGAGTCCCTGTCTGGTGTCCTCCCGGGGCCTGGGTTCCAGAGCTGCCCTGCAGACCCTCCAAAACGGGGCATCAAGAGCTTTTCACAAAAGAGAAACCAAGTCTGAGCTGTCACAGTCCTGGTACAAAGCGGACATAAGACTGTCTCCCACCCTAGATCCCAGGAATATTGATTCTCTTATCTCGGTATCCGTCTTCTGGGACCCTTTGCCACAGAGGATTTTGCAAAAACCAAGGTCACATCTGAGATTAAAACCAGAAGGAAAGGGACTTGAGGAAAAGAACTTTCCAGTCAGTCTGGTTTTATGTTACCCTGGCTACTGAGCCATACGTTCACCAGTGAGTTATGAGGTGGTTTGGGGAGAAGTGTGCCTGTTGATTATGCTTGACCACTATGGTGTCTCTACTGTTCTGTGTGGTCTTATCAGTGTCCCTGCGAGACTTGGATTCTCATGCCCATTATGCAGATGTGAAAGCTGAGGCGCACAAAGGCCGCGCCAACCAGGGTCCACCTACAGTTCACGGCAGGGCCAGGATTTTGCTCCCTGTCTCCTGACAGCAGAGCGAGTGCTCATCCTCCTTTGCCGGTGCTGGGGTGTTAGCACCAGCAGTAATTGAAGGCCTGGGGGTGAAGGAGACCCCAGGAGGAAGGTGTGTGAGGCTAGACAGCAGCCCAGGATGGAGCCAAGGGAACCCCAGGTATTCCACTGCAGGTGACAGGTCTGTACCTGAGGGAGGATTTTAGGAAGAGAACCAGTGAGGGCCTCACAGGAGGGAGGGATCTCCGTGCTGGAAAGGATGACATAGAAGATTCCTTATGACCCTGGAGCGAGTCGATGTAGTGATGGGAAAAAGCCAGAAAAGCGCGCTGGCTTGTGATGTCAGAAATCCCAGTGTTTGCCTAGAAGGACGAGAGGAGGTTACTAGATAGAAATTACAGAAGGAAAACTTGACACAGCCTCCAGGAAGAAAATTAAAGGGGGAAAGCTCTGTTCTCTGCTGCCCCATAAGATACCACAAGGTGGCGCTCGTGTCTTAGTCACCGCGTCACACCAAGGGGTCAAACCACCAGTCCTTTTCTCCATCTGCCTCAGAACAACTTCAGCAAAAGGACCAGCAGATCCTGCTCCTACTGGAAGAGAAGGAGGTGATCTTCCGGGACATGATGGAGTGCAGCACCCCCTTGCCGGAGGAATACTCCCCAACCCTCGGCCCTCGAATCCTCTTCCGCTCCAACACAGAGGAGGCGCTCAAGGGAGGACCTTTAATGAAAAGTGCAATAAATGAGGGTAATCTCCGTTCAGTGCTGCCCCTTCTCTCCCCAGTGTGGTTTATACACTGTTACTTTTTATTGTTAAACAGCACAAATACAGAAAACAACCCCAGACAAACATTTCACTTTAGTGAGTTACCAGGTGAGCACCTTTTTAAAAAAATGCGATTTTAGAGACAGGGGAAAGGAGGGAATGAGGGAGGAAAACATCGATCAGTTGCCTCCCATATCCTTCCCAACCTGTAATTGAACCTGCAGCCTGGCTGTGTGCCTGGACTGGGACTCAAACCCACAACCTCTTGGTGTGTGGAACAATGCTCCAACCCACTGAGCCACACAGCCAGGGCCAGGTGAGCATCTTGTAGCCACTCCCAAGGCCAAGAAGTAAACTGTGGCCAGACACCCTAGGAGCCCTCCCACATGTCCTGTCCCCATCAAAGCTGGCTCCCGCCCTCCGGAAAGAGCAGGTGCTGGGACTCACAGTGACCACTTCCATTTCTTTATGGCTCTGTGGCCAAGTCCTCTTTGTCGACTCCGCTGTCTAGCATTGCTCCTGTTTTTATGTGTAAAATTTAATTTCCAGCCCCTCCCACCATCCTTTCCACACAATTTATTTTGGAAAAATCTGAGCTTTTTAACGTAGGGTTTGCATGTTTCCTCTTCCCAGTGGAGATCCTTCAGGGTTTGGTGAGTGGAAGCCTGGGAAGCCCCCTCGGGCAGGCGGTGAGCAGCCCTGTGGGGCAGGAAGGCACCGTTGGCCCCGTCTCCTTGCCCCGGAGAGCGGAGACCTTCGGGGGATTCGACAGCCATCAGATGAACGCTTCCAAAGGTGAGTGAGCGTGAGCTGGTGCTTTCAGAGGCCGTCCTGGACTAACACAGAACTAGAAATGGTCTCGGTCATCCGTAATGTTTCAGCGAGAGTCTCCTAAGGACCTGCTGCCATACACTCGGGGCTGTCTCAGTGTCAGGTTCGTGTCGCATCACGAAGGGTTCCGGGTCTCAGCTAGGCTGCAGCCAGAGGCATAACAACACTCGTCTTTCCGTTTGGTTCTTCGGTGTCAGTAGAAAGATTAGGAATCACTTGGCTGCCTCCAGGTAGCCTCCCAGTCTTTGTCCTCAGTGAGGCTCAGAAATACCGTATCCCTGAGCCGTGTGTGTTGTGTTCTTTCCTGGCTAATCTGTGGCACAGCTGAAAGGACACGCCTGTTTGTGTGTTTAGGAGGAGACAAGGAAGAGGGAGACGATGGCCAGGATCTGCGGCGCACGGAGTCGGACAGTGGTCTGAAAAAGGCATGTTTTCCCAAAATGCACTACGACCTCCTGGGCACTGCTCTCTGGTTTCATGGGCTTTGGAATGCGTCCACTTTGATCTCGTTTTGGATTCCCGACTCGCTGTTCTGTTTCCCACTTGATCTGAAGAGGAAAGCGCATGTTGGAGCACACGGTGCTGTTAGGAGTCCCCGTCTCCCGGGCCGCGTGGCCTCTCGGCTTCGAGCCTCGTCTTTACATTCAGAGCCCGGCCCGGCCCGGCAGGACCAGTTTTGTCGAGAGGTTTGTGTAAAAGGCCCAAACCAACATGAGCTCTTGACGAGGCTCGAGTAGCAGCTCAGCCGGGAACCTTCATTTCCCCGCGTGAGAGGCTGAGGTAGAGCAGGACAGGGGCGCGCAGTGTGACGCAGACGCACGCTGGGTGTGCTTCCTGCCCCGGGACCTCCGTGCTCTGAAACTGGTCTTGTTTCCTAGGGTGGAAATGCTAACCTGGCGTTCATGCTGAAAAGAAACAACGAGGTAAGGCCGCGGCGAGCTGCTGGAGAGGGTGACCTGTTGTAGCTGCTCAACTGGGAACACTCGCCCTGTTTTCCTGGTGTGAACAGGCTGGCTCCGGGCTGTGCCCTGCACACGTCACGGGGCTGTCACGCTGCCCACCGGCGTCACGTGGCTTAGTGCCGAAGCGTGGCCTGCTTTCCTAGAGCTCTGCTGTGGCTCTTTGACACTTGACATTTTAATCTATTAGAATTTTTTTTGTGTGAGCCAGGGTTCGAACTTAATTTTTTCCAAAGATCTAGCTAATTTTCTCAGAATAATTCATTGCGATTTCTTCCCCATTGATGTATAGATGCTCCTTGTACCACCTGCTAAATTCTTACGATTGGCTCTGTGCTTTCTGTTCTGTGAGATCAGTAGGTGTGTCATTTTGGTGGCACTCGTTTTAAATGACCGGCGCTTTATAACACATTTTACTGTGTTCTGAGGTCCCGCCCACCACCGTTCTTCGTGTCATGTTTTTCGTGGCTGCTTGTATCCACTTATTCTCTTCGGTGCTTTCAGTTTGAGAGCCTTTGGTTGGAATGCAAGTGCCTTGCTGTGCGTAGGGAGCTTGTCGGTCAGATGGCCGGCGGGGGGCTGGGTCTGGGCTCCGTCCTGACAGGAGGTCTCCATTGTGTCCCCTGTGCAGCAGGTCATCCAGAGCATCGTCCACCTCCACGAGCTCCTTAGCACTTTGCAGGTATGAGCCCCCTCTCCCGCCCCTTCACACATTTCTCTCCAGAAGAACAGTGCGGAGGGGGTGTCGGTGGCCTGGGTGTTTTAGTTTGGAGGTTACTGATGGGTAAACGGGGCCCTCAGTCTAGAGCATGGGGCCCTCGTGCTGAGGACAGTCTTGGACGCAGCGGTCAGAGTGTGGTCAGCCTCTGAGTCTGGATGGGCCGAGGCGGCAGGAGCACTGGGGGCCCTGGGAGGCCGCGCCACGAGGCACAGGGCGCTGGCAGGCACAGGCGATTTCCCTCTCCACAGGCCTGGGTGTGAGGGGCATGTCCCTGGCCCATGTCGCCCTGTGGTATTTGGATAGCGCAGCCCTCCCAAACACCTACTATTTTTTTTTATTTTTTTATTTTATTGATGTGAGGGAAACACATCGATTGGTTGCCTCCTGCATGTGCCCTGACCAGGGCCCAAGCCCGGGAGGAGCCTGCAGCCTAAGCACATGCCCTTGTCTGGAATCGAACCCGGGACCCTTCAGTCTGCAGGCCAACGCTCTATCCAACTGAGCCAAACTGGCTAGGGCCCAGACACCTACTCCTGAGTGCTTACTGGGAACATCCTGCCGATCTGCTCACTTCCGTTCTCGAAAACCTACCCAGTCCCATCCTTCCTGCTCCCACCTCCAGAAATACACACACCCCACCCCGGGCAGTGCCCGTGTCTGCAGGCAGCACGTACCCAGTTTGACACCAAACTGAGTCCCCACACCATTGGCACCCCTGGTTGATATGCCCACGGCTCTCCTGGAGGGCTGTCCCAGGCCAGCTCCAACATGAGGGCAGAGTGTCCTCTGTCCAGTGCCTGGTGCCCCTGGGCCTAGGACAGGAGGGGCAGGGAGGCGGTCCCAGCCAGAGGCTCACAGTCCCTCCTGGTGCCCCTGGGCCCAGCCAGAGGCTCACCAGTCCCTCCTGGTGCCCCTGGGCCCAGGACAGGAGGGGCAGGGAGGCGGTCCCAGCCAGAGGCTCACCGGCCCCCCCTGGTGCCCACAGGGGGTGGTGCTGCAGCAGGACAGCTACATCGAGGACCAGAGGCTGCTGCTGAGCGAGAGGGCGCTGGCCCGCAGCGCGTCCCGGCCCAGCTCCCTGGTGGAGCAGGAGAAGCAGCGCAGCCTGGAGAGGCAGCGCCAGGACCTGGCCGACCTGCAGAGGCAGCAGGCGCAGCACCTGGAGGAGCGGCGGCGGCGGGAGCGCGAGTGGGAGACCCGGGAGCGGGCGCTGCAGGAGCGGGAGGCCCGGCTGGCCCAGCGCGAGGAGGAGGTGCAGCGGGGCCAGCAGGACCTGGAGCGGGACCGGGAGGCGCTGCTGCAGAAGCGGGGCGCCTACCAGTACGACCTGGAGCGGCTGCGCACGGCCCAGAGGCAGCTGGAGCGCGACGCCTGTCAGGTACGGGGCCCGCCTGTCGGGTACGGGGCCGCCTGTCGGGTACGGGGCCCGCCTGGCAGGTACGGGGCCCGCGGTAAGTGGAACCTCTGTGCTCAGCACCAGGAGGAAGGACGCGAGAGACAATGGCCGATTCCATAGACTCTCTTTTCATAGGAAGGGGCGGGGGAAGGGAGTCTCTTCTACTGGGTCCATCCCCGAGAGGTTGATGTGGGGAATGGCGATGCTGGGGGCTTGAGCAGGAAGTTAACGGGCCCTTCCTCAGCGAGCCTGAGACGGTGGTGGTCAGCCAGCCGGGACTCTGGAGCAGCCCCTCTGCTCTGTCCCGTGTAAGGAATCAGAATGACCCTGGCCGGTGTGGATCAGTGGTCAGAGCACCAGCCTGTGGATTGAAGGGTCTCCGGTTCAATTCCCGGTCAGAGGCACCTACCTGGGTTGCGGATTCCATCTCTCTCACGTCAATGTGTGTTCTCTCTCTCCTCTACCTCCCTTCCTTCTACTCTCTGAAAATCAGTGGAAAGCATATCCTCAGGTGAGGATTAACCACAAGAAGAGATCAGAACGGCCCCCCCAAAGGAACCTGTAGCCCATGTGGGTTAACGTGCCAAGGCTCGGGGACCGTGCCCTGCCTGTGAGCACCAGGTGGCAGTCAGTGGCCCTGAAAGGACGGGGAGGTGGGTTCAGGGGCGTCAGTTACAGGGAGAGCCCACCCCGGGAGGGCGGCAGCTGCTCTCTGCGGAGAGGGTGTTGGTGCTGGGGTGCTGGTGGAGGCCCCCTGGTGCTGTAGCTGCTACTCGGGGAAGCAGGCTTTCCCTCTGCAGCACTGGGCTCCTGCAGGGCCCCGTGCGATCCTGGAGCACAGACGCTGGGGGCAGGCGGGAGCCTGGGCGGGCACAGATCGCCTGGTAGATACGCACGTCCTGTTGCCATTTGATAGATCGATTGACCTTGGACCATGAAAGAGAATTCAGCTGACAGCTTCTAGAAGGGGCGGTTCTGCTCCCTGCAGTCTCGTCGTGTGTGTGTGTGCATGTGTGCGTGTGTGTGTAACGCAGGAGGGTTCCTTCCTCCCCACCCGTCCAGTCCTCGGGCTCCACGGGCACAGAGAGCGCGGGTGGGGCTGACGGCCCTCATCTCGCTTTATCTCGGTTTGGCCTTTGGCCAGAATAGACTCCTGGTGTAAACGCCACTGTCCAGCTGCTCTACTTCTACCCTGAACAGGCTTCTAGAATCTCTTAGCCCCGAGTAATCCCCACGTCCCTGTGTACATCAGCCTTCAGGGCCGCAGCTCCCCTTTTTCTTCAGGGAGTGGGAGGGACCTCGCCCACGGTCCTATTAATTCTTTATGGTGCAGGCGTTAAGTGCATGTAGTAAACATAGTAATGGTGTCAAAGGTGACGTTTTCAGCACTGGCATCGATCCTGCGTGGGGGAGGGCCGTAAAGGAGTCCTGAGCCTTTTTATGCCGCAGCCTCTGAGCACACCCCTTCTCTCACGTGTGCAGGTCTCCCATCCACACACCAAGCTGCTGAGGATCCCCACCTTCCTCCCCAACCCCGAGGAGTCCCCCCCGCCGCCCGCGCCTTCCATAGCCAAGTCGGGGTCCTTGGACTCAGAACTCTCGGTGTCCCCAAAACGGAACAGCATTGCTCGGACACACAAAGACAAGGGGCCTTTTCACATACTGAGTTCTGCCAGCCAACCCAGCAGAGGGCCGGAGGGCCCCAGCCAGACCCCCGCGCCCCCCTCCTCCTCCACCCGCCTGTTTGGATTGGCAAAGCCAAAGGACAAGAAGGAGAAAAAGAAGAAGAACAAAGGCCGCTCTCCGTCTGGGGGTGAGTCGCACACCGTCTCCCCGTGGCCGGGTTGTCCTTGGAGCCCGAGGAGGGGGAGATGTTAGTGGCCCACGTGGGACAGGTTAGTGAGAGGGACCGTGGGGTGTATAAGAGCCAAACGGTCCTACTTCTCACCAAACCCCCTTGCACTGCCCACAACGAGCCCAGACAGCAGTTCAGGGAGTCTTCCAGGTGCTCTGGTGCGGCACATGCCTGCAGGAGGCGGCACATGCCTCCCTCTCAGGGTCCATCTAGCTCAGGAATGAGCCCCCCTCCCGGGAGCACTCCAGCCTCCCGCCTTCCCCGGCCTCGCCAGGGACTGATGATAGCACCTGTGCTCAGTGCGCACTTCAGTATCACGTAGGTTCCTGGCAGGAGTGAGGGCAGCGAGCAGGGGCAGCCCCCCAGCCCCTCGTCTGTCTGCAGCTTAGGAGCCTTGTGTTTGGGGAGGAAAAGGGGGAGATCGATTTTTTTCTGAATTTCTTTTTCCTTCTGTGTCCCCTCTTCCAGACGGCCCTGCATCAGAAGTGCCCGCAGAGGGTGAGGAGATCTTCTGCTGACCCCCCTCCCCTGCTGGCCGTGGCACCAGCCCCCTCCTGCTGTCCCTGCGTGCCCACTCTCCTGCGTGGACACCGCCCTCTTCAAGCATCGCTCCTCCGCACTGCAGGGCCGGGACCTGAGGGACAGGGGGTCCCGCGCGTTGGTGGGTGAGGAGGCCCAAACTTCCCACCCTGGCGACGGGGTGGGGGCCGGCCGGTTGAGGGTGTTACACTGAAAGTAGTGTCCCCAGAAGTCCAGGCGGTGGTTTGGGCCATGTCAGGAATCCTAAAAGCTGAAAGAATGTTCCAGATGAGGTGTGAAATGCTGGCTGCCTTTTGTTTTGGGGACCGCCTCTGAGACTCCAACAGCAGGCAGAGGGGACTTGCTGTGTGTGCATACACAGTGACCGTCTGCGTCTGCACGTGGGGCTGGCAGGATCACGCAGTCTGTCCATGAGCACTGCACAGGCGCGTGCAGGCTTGGCTCTCGCCGCTGGGCCCCGAGGCGGTTTCCCACCCCCCACTCCGCACCCGTTTGCGTGTATCTCAGTTCACTGTAGAAGGGATGACGGACACGTGTGGAAACCAGTGAGAAAAGACTTGGTGTTTCCAAAGCATCCGATCTGCACCTCCTCAATTCTCGTGTTCCAGCCACGGAAGAGCTTCCACCCTGGCTTTCCAAGGTGTTTGCCCACATGTTCTGGGCGCCATGAAGCAGAGGCCTCCTCGCCACGACCCCTGCAGGGTGACACTTTTTGGTTGTCACTGACCCTCAGAAGGGGCCACACCTCCTGGCAGTGTTCCTGAGGATCACCGTGGCTCCCGGGGAAGCTGGTCCTGCCTGGCGCTCACGTGGGAGACAGCGGCCCCCCGGCTTCTCCAATAGGGACCGCTTCTCCTGCAGGAGCTTGTCCCCGCCCCGGGCTGGGACCCCCAGCTGGGAAGCAGCTCAGTGACAGTGTGACAGTGGTCTGTCTCCACCAGCACAGGAGAGACGGGCGGGTGTGGCTCGGGAGGGCTCACTCTGTCCGGAGGCTTGGCAAACTTAAACTTCTTAAAAAGTTCTTCAAAAACCTGAAGGCCTGCTGGTTACTGCACTCTGCCCCGTGAAGATGCCTCAGAGGCGGCCTGTTTCCTGTCCTCTGTCTTCTGTCCTTGTTGCCTTCTGCGCTGGGTCTGTATTTGCTTTCAGCTTGTCACCAGCTGGGCGGTGCCGGGGTTCATGGGCGTGGCTCCCCCGCGAGGCCGCACCTGCCCCGCTGTGGCTGCCGGGAGGGACCCCGGGGACCGTGCTCTAACGCGGCTCCCACTCCTGCCCTCTGCCCCTCGGGAGCCGTGACCATCCTTTTAAAAAACAAAAAATCTGTAACTTGGTGCTTGATGAATTGCAAGCTGGCCTTGCAGATGGAGATATTTATCTTTCAGTTTATTTGAAAGAGGTCTGGTTTAAAATCGTTAGCTAGTTATGTTTTATTTATTGTGTGTGTGTGTCCGTGTCCGTGTGTGTGAAGGGCGAACATACTGTCCCAACGGTTACCCAGCTCCCTGGTCACTGTGGAGGGTGACCGCGCCGGCCGCTCACTCCTCAGTGTCTGCAAGTGCCTTGAAGGCCCACAAGACACCAGGGCGGGGAAGGGTCCCTTTCCTGCCCCAGCCCGGCCCCAGCGCAGCCTTTGACCAGGGAGGGGGTGTCTTCCTGCCGCCGAGGAGGGACACTTGCCTGGTTCTGTCATTGAGTTTCTTTCCCTCCAGCAATAGACTTGAGGAATAAAACCAACCGATTTCTCCTTTTCTCTCGTAACCATGTATCCACCCCACCCCTCCGCCCAACACCAAAGACCCTACACAGCAAGCAGCCAGTCCCCCCAGCTTCGCAGCACAGCCGTGCCCGCCGGGCCCCCCCGGAGCTCCACTATCTGTCCTTGTCGCCTGCTGGGTCACCCCGGGGCTCCGTGTCGCTCTGCTGGAAGGCAGCACTGGGTGCGCGTGCGCCCGGCCGCCTGTGCCCAAGACGACGCGACGGGCTGTCGGGCTGCGCTCAGAGGCCGGTGGACAGGGAGCATGTGTGGCTGCACAGCTTGGCTTCCGTTTGAGACTCACTCCCCCGCCCCGCCCCCTCCCTCTGAAGTGGACTTGGGGATTTTTGCTGCCGTGTTTGTGTTAAGACCTTGAGGACGGCGCAGGCGCGGAGTCTGACCCCGCCTGGGTTTCTTTCCTGGGGGAAGGGGTGGACTTCTCGGGTGACTCAGGTTCAAGTCGTCGGGGCCCCCAGCTTCTCTGTCAGCCTCCAGAGATCAGGTGCCCAACATTGTGTTTAAGTTTTGGGGGGACGAAGGAGACACCTTCCAGAGTCCCAGGTCTCCAGAGTCTAATGAGTTTCCCGGAAGGAGGGGTACCTTGTCTCCATAATATCATCTCGGTAATTGTCATCCTACCTGGGCGACCTGTGCACTTTCCAGGCTGTCGCCAGCTGGCTTCGCTTTTCTATGTCAACTGTTTCCTTCTTGGAAAACGCAGAAGGTTAAAAACACGCAAATGGCCACAATTCAGCCTTTGCCAACGTTCCATCCTACCCCCGAAGCTGTATGTGGGCAAGAAATCTGTGTCAAGATTTTTTTGGAAAAGGTACGAATCTTACCTTTTTTCCCCTTAAGTCTCAGGGCAATACCACTGGAACCTGTCCCTTTGCTCACTTGCTCCCTTATCTGTTACCTTCCCAAGCCCGGCATTAGCAGCAGTGAGCATAGCGTGAGGCCCTGGGGCTTTGTGGGGCCTTTTGGGGGCGGGAATAGAGCGCATAGGGTTTAACAAAATGGGCTCTGCCTTCAGAAAAGCTGGGACCGCACATCACCTTCGAGGCCAGACCATGGTCCGGAAGTCGCTCCTCCTCCATTCTCTGTCTCTCAGTTCTTTCTCCCCAGGGGTCTTTCCCCGAGGGTTTGAGTGTGGACCTTGGAGCCGCATTTACTCCCGTGCGATGGTGGCAGTTGTGCCAGAGGACAGCTGAGTCCTGGGAGGGGTGTAGAGAGAGCGGCCTGGTGAGGGGGCTCCAGGGCCACAAAGAGGGTGGTTTGGAGGGGACACTGCCACAGGGCATCCACCCCCTCCACACGCTGGGGTGCGCTTGGAATGGGGAGCCTGCAGGGACGGTGGCTGGCAGGGTGGGTGTGCCTTGCCCCTGCAGCAGGACAGTTGGACAACACGGCTGTGGTCCTGACTGGCCGGTCCCGGCCGGGCCCTGGCGCTCGTTGGCCTGAAGAGACGGGAGGGGCCCGGCGTGCCTGGCTTTGCTGCTTCCTTTCTTCCAACGCGTGGCATTCCTCCTTAACCAGAGCCTGGGACGGACCTGCTGGCCAGGTGTTAGGGTGACAAGCACTGTAATGCGGCCATAATAGGAAAACACACGCAGGCTGCTGCTTCCCATGTCCTCCCCTCACTGAATTCATGCAAAGACGACTGGCCTCAAATGACTTCTCCATCTCCTGAGGTTCAAAGATGGGCAAACGCAAGTGGGCCAGGCTCTCGCCCCGCAGACCCTGCTGAGCCGCTGCCAACACCCAGCCGGAGCCGGCCTGTGCCCGCCTCCTGCGGCCGGCCCCCG